TGAAATTCCTACACAGAACTCCCTGATTTTGCAATCTGGATACTGACCCCAGGGCAACAGCACATGGCTGTACAGGTTGTCCACTGCACAACTCCAGGGGGTGTCAATCACATAGACTGTGATGAGAAAGGTGCCCCTAGAGTGCAGTGCACCCCTGTACAATCAAATCCAGCAGCCCTATCTGAGAGGCTTGAAAACTTTCCTGATGAACATGGAGAACATGCAATTCAACAAATATTTATTGAGTATCTATTATGTATGAGACACTGTTCTAGGTTCCAGGAACACAAGAGTGATCACAACAGACACAGTCCCTATCCACATAGAGCTTATATTCTAGCAGAGTGGAGAAGGGAGACAGATAATAAACCAATAAACAAATTACCATCTCTCATATCAAATGCTGGTGTTGGGGGAGCAGTAAAACCAGGTAAGAAAGAAGTGGGATCCCAGCAATGGCAGAATTACAATTTGAAATAAGTTGGCAGAAAGGCTTCATTCACAAATTGGCATTTTTAATCAGAAACCTTAAGGAAACCAGGAAACATGCTGTTTGTGTGGCTGAGGCAAGAGTATTCCAAACAGAGGAAAGAGCAAGTGCAGATGCCCTAAGGCAAAGCCTACTTGGCATATTCAGGGGACAGCAAAGATGCTGGAGTGGGTTGGAGGGGGTGGTGGCGATAGAAATGAAGTCAGGTGGCAGGAGGGGGAAGCAGATCTCACAGGGCCTAGGCAGCCTTTGCAGTGTTGCTCTTTACTCTGACTGTGGTGAGAAGCCACTGGAAGATCCTGAACAGAGGAGTGACATCATCTGATGCAGGTGTTAAAAAGGATCTCACTGTACTTGAAATAAATTTTTATTACAAAAGATTACGTCTAAATTTCTAAAAATTGTCTAAACAATTTTCCCCCATACTCTGAGTGTTTTTAACCAAAATTAGCAATCCTATTTTTAAAGTTGTGTCCCTTTTTAAAGCTGAGTGCGAATTCAAATGTTTAAGCAAATAAATACTTCCTGAAAGTGGTAAATACTGACACTTTTAGTCTTAATAAGCATTAATGTTACTTTATGTGCTCCCTTCCTGATGTTCAATTTACCAAATGGTTCAGATTAATTCCTATCAATTATAGGAAAAAAGAATCTGGAAAGAAAAATCTCAAACATTTTAGCTATGAGAGAAAGCGTTTCATGGATCATAAAAGCATCAGAGACGTGGTTAACGTGGTCAAGGCCTCTGCTCCAAGGGAGACGATTGCTCATAAAACAGTTTGCATTTTGTCAAGTTAACCTAAGTTGTGGAACACAGCATTCTGGAATGTGACCTGGCCTTTCAGAAAAATCGTTAAACAAAGTCTACTGTTCATAATAATACTGAAACTGCCAAAAAAAATCACAGCTGCTTCCATGCTCAGTGTTTTACATAAAATACAACAACAAGGTATGTGAAAAACGCACAAATTTCACAGTAAGAACTGTACTATATTTTCCAAAATGTCTTCTATAAATGCATTTATATATGTATAATTCTCATGCCAAAGAGCTCAGCAAATCACTTTCCACCAACAAATTTAGTACATACTTATGGAAAAGTTTACTCATATTTGTAAATAACACATAACAACAATAAAAAAGACTCAGATTGACTTGTCCCCAAACTGGCAGTCCAACATAGATTCCTTTCACAGTTATAAATAAATACTTCACAGTGTTTGCACAAAATATCTTGTAATAAATAACAAAAATATTGTGTCCCCCAAATCTTTTTTCTTGTCATGGCTAATTTGTATAATTGAGGTACTATCATTCACACAGTTGATTCTTGAAAGTTTGGACTTGTTAAGAGTTGGGCACAAGATCTTGCCTTTAAAGCTAGTCATCAAAATCAGGGGCTATCCTGGGATACTTTATTACGAAGGGAAAGAAACTAACATTGCCAGGTCCTAACTTGTTCAGCCCTGGGCTAAGTATGTGGGATGCCACAGGTCAGGTAGTCTTTGAAGTAACCTTATGAAGTGGGAATTAGATCGATTTTATGTAAGAGAAAACTGAAGCCAACGAGGTAAAATAACTCGTCCCAAGTGATGAAGCTTGCCTAGGTCCCAGCCAGGCTTAGTCAAGTCCTGGTCCATCTGATTTCAAAGCCCTTGCTGCTTCTCTCTATTGCACACTGGTTCCAATTGCACACTGAGTTCTCTCTGTTGCACACTGAGCAACATTGTCTTTTTTTAATCGATTATGAAATAAAGTTAAACAGCTTCATCATTATCATTGTCATTATTTTTCTTTTTAGCTACTATTTTTTGAGTGCTTTTCTGATTGGTCTGTCCTGTGGAAAGAGTTTGCAATCCTCACACGAACCTTGTAAGGTGAATCTGCCAGCGTGTTGCTACAGACCGTGCTTACTTCAGCCAGTTTCTCTGCTGAATATCCTCCTTTTACTGATGAGGAAACCAAGTCAAAAAGTCATAAATGACACACCCAAGGCTGGGAAGTAGTTGAGCAGGTATTTAGACTCAGATCTATTTCACCCCATGCCTGTGGGCCGTTTTCACATTCTTTTCAGCTGGACAGTTTTAAAAATATATAATGTTGCACTCATTAAATAACCTGAAATTTTACAATCTGAAAGGGAACTGATAACTTGAGGCACTATATAACTATGCTTCAACGCCTCAAAAAGGTTCCACCAGGCACTTCTGAAAATGATTTGTACAGCCTTTTTTTACTTGAGTGGTGGTCAACATTCTCACAACTTGGCTCACGTTTTTATGCTGAACAAATGGTTCATGACCCTTTATTCTGGGGGCTGGATTCCTCAAACAATTCTGGTCCCAGTGAATCCACAGTGATGTGGTGAATAGCAAGGATCTAGGCGTTGTTGCCTAGTTGATATTCATGAAATACTTGGCCTTAATAGGTCAGGAATTATTTTCCCCATATTTCTCTAATTACATTAAAGAATATAAGGTTTTTAAAAAACTGGCAAAAAATGTGATGTTTACTATTAAATATCCAACTGGAGAAGGCTTGGATTAATAAGATGGAAAAATTAGGGATGACCTGAAAAATTAATTTATCATCACTGACCTGTTTTCATATCTTGAAGCTTTTATGATCTAGTTTTAAATCTACACTGCTTTTTTTTTTTTTTTTTTGAGACAGAGTCTCGCTCTATCACCCAGGCTGGAGTGTAGTGGTGCAATCTCGGTTCACTGTAACCTCCGCCTCCTAGGTTCAAGTGATTCTCCTGCCTCAGCCTTCCAAGTAACTGGGATTACAGGCACGCATCACCATGCGCTGCTAATTTTTTGTATTTTAGTAGAGACAGGGTTTCACCATGCTGGCCAGGCTGGTCTCGAACTCCTGACCTCATGATCTGCCCACCTCAGCCTCCGAAAGTGCTGGGATTACAGGCATGAGCCACTGTGCCCGGCCTGCACTGCTTTTTCATAGTGAATGTTTCTATTGCTGATAATCACAGAGGCAAATACAGACTTGGTTTACTTTTTTGACTAAAGGCAAAATATATATAACCATGCTTGTACTGTTATAAAAGTTTATATGAATTGTGATTTATCCATCTATTCATTTCCATTTTAGGCAAAACAATTCATCATTTTAAAGTCTAGCCTAATAAGCGTTTTATGATAAAAAGGAATAAAATGGGAGTAGGTATTGATGTAGATTACAGATCTATTTTGTCAAAATTTTACCCTTAAAAGACTTTTTCGTTGGGTCAGAAATACATTTTCCTGCTTTGAGTGTATTGACAAATTTTCCCTTTAAGATATATTAAAATTTAAATGTATAGTTTGAAGTCTTATAAGAATTATAAATTTTGACTTATGTCTTATAAGACATAATTTTTTACTTAAGACAAAATTGTCCTAAAGGACAACTCAGTCTCTTTGACACTCAGGAATAGGCTAGGGTCACTATTTTGTAAACTAACAGCTGTATAATTTCTCAAATCATGTCAAGAGCATTGATAAACAATTTTCTTAATTATTTGGTAAACTTACTGAAGTCTTGCAGAGATGTAAACACTGAGCTCTTTTAATCTATGTGCCTTATTTATTGCTCCTGGAAACAATATTATTATGCCTGTAGGACTGCCCTAGACAATCTCAGATTCATAATGTTAGGGCTGAATACACTCCACAGCATTATGGGTTAAAACTCATGCCACTTCTAGATCTTTCATTAAATTCTCTCTATCTTCCTAACTCCACCCAAATCAGTATACGACTCAGATGCCTTGAATCTCCAAAAACATGTCTTGAAACAGTCTGTTGGAAGCCAGCTCTCTTCTATGGACTCCATAGAAATGTGTTCACTGTCTGTTCCTCCCACAAGGCATGTGTCCCCTTCTTCTTGCATTGTAGATACTTACTGATATACTGTATTTTCCCTGCCAGAGAGTAAGCTCATCAAGGGAGCCATCTGAATCACTTTAGTTTCTTTTGTCATATAACTCACATGAAGTAGATTCTCAAGTATTGAGTATTGAATGTGTACTTAATAATTTCTGTTAGCCATGACACATTTTCAAAGAAGGGTTTTAGGAAGTACTCGGTCAAGAAAAAAAAAAAAGCCGTAAGAATAGAAAACTCTTCAAGAGCTAAGTCAGAATAACTGGCACTTAAAAGTGACACATTCAATTTCTTCACCTTTATATAACCTCCAGAAGATCAAATGTTGATAAAATATTTATCTTCAGTTGTCACAAGCCAGACTTTGATTTAAAACTCTTGGGTACATGAATGTCATGCCAGGCCAGAAATACATCATCATGTATTTTTAATTTAAACATGGGTATGTAAAAAATTTATATATGCCTGATATGAAAAAATTTGAGTGAAAATCTCCCAACAGTCACCACAAACAAGAAAACAGAATCTAAAAGCAATTTTTAAACTTCTGTAAAAGTGCAGTGAAAAGCCTTCTGCTTACAAGTCCAATGTGGTATTGAAATGACACATAAAACGCATTCTCTTACCTTTAGGGAATCAAAGCAGGCAATTACTCTTCCATTTTCAACCTGACAACTTTTGGGGGGATGAGCAAATTTGCATTCTTCATCGGAGCGTGAGCATGTTCCTCTTTGAAACTGTCTGCAGACTTCTAATGTCAGCCATTTTGTATCTCTGACTGGGGCAACGTTCAAAGCCATGGTGATAAAGTAATTTGGGCTGTTTGTTTCTGTTAAATGATGAAATCAATCCAAGTTCTAATGATTCCAAAACTACTGTTGTGAAAACTCCCACATGTAAGTCTGAAGGTGAGTGATAAATTGCTTAGTGAAGTCCAATCCAGGGAACAGGATGATGAGAGAGTTTATGGACAGGCAATCACTCATCAATCAACATGTCCCACTTGAAGATGGCGGGCCACAATAAAAGCACGCTCAGTGTCATCTCTGGCTTTCAACGTCTGAGTCTCTTGGCTGTTTTGCAGATACACCTGTTTTTAATAAAGTGACTTCAATTTCATGGCACTCCTTGGGAGAATATTTAATGCTGACGCTCACAGCTATTGACGATGTTAGAAAATAAGACACTCAGATGTTCATATTTTAGCAGGATGTTTTTCTTCCCCCTTTTTGAATTCTGAAATTAAGCAATTGGCAAAGTCAGACAACTGAGGTATCTTCATCCACTCATAAGGTCAGGGTAAAGTGTACTTGACAGAAGAGCGAGATGTGAATACAAAGAAAGCTCCCAGGCTGCAGTTTCCAGCAAAAGTGACTTCACACAGGCACTTCTAAATGATAAACCTGCAAAACAGAAATGAAATATCAACCTTTATGCAAACTCAATGAATCAACACTCCAACGAACTTTTGAACTCTTATCTAGAATTTGCAAAAGCACGGTTTAGAGCTTTGAGCTTTGAATATAGTGAGAAAAGTTATGCATTAAAGAAAAAAAAAAGAATACGCAACGGAAACCGTATTGCAGAATTGTCTAGGCAGCAGTCCAAAAGTTAGGAATGACTCAAACAGATGAGTGTGGCAGACACAATAATTAGGCCTTCTGAAACAATCCCATCTAATGTGCTTAATCGCCAAAACAGTGTATTAGGACTGTGGCTTCCAATTAATTTCACATGTAGGCCATTGATTTTATTGTTGGGAGTGCTATAAACAATTATTTGGGATGTGTCCCTCCTATGTAATAAAGATATTGTCATTTTGGATGAAGTGTGGGCTCTTCTTTATGTTCTTCCTAGTTTACAGAGATACAGACTTAGAGATGGGTAGGTAGGATCCTCTTGATATTTTTTCTCAGGTGTCTTAATATTTCCTCTCCTCCATGACTTACCTAATGTTTATCTTCCTATTTACACTGCAAGCATTCACGGGGCAAAGACTATTCTTTGTAGTTTTCATTTCTGTATTCCCAGTGCCTTAGTCTATGGTGTATATTAGACCCTCAAGAAATATATATTGACCAATTTAACTGATGACTAAATGCCAGGAATGTAAATTAGTTTTAGTTGAGTTCAGTTTAGTTTTTAACTGAGTCATAATCTAAAAACGCTCTGTAGTATGGAATGCTGGAGTTAAAACACATGGCTACAACAAAAATATAGTCAGTAAGTTCAGATGTCTAAAATAAGCACCTTCAGTTTCTTTTAACTTTTTCAAGGGTTATGAAATCATTGAACATTAAATTACAGTTACTGGGATAAGCATGAATAAAGGACTAAGGTCCAGAAGTTGATTATTTTCATGAACTGGATATGCCACAAATGACCTTACATACTTGCTGAGCCTTGATGTCTTTCTAAAAAATTTATACCTGAGAAGAACTTAATGAAGACTGGAAGTAGATTATTTTAAATTGGCAGGTACCAAATAAGTTCAGAG